TCTTAGGCCTCCATGGCTGAATGTAGGTTTCTGGCCTTTGCTTACAATATTGCGAATCTGCTGGCTGAAGTCCGGAGGTATTTCTTAAACTGCAAGCTCAGAGGCCGGCAGCCGCAGGCGGGGAACGTTGGAGTCCTCCTTCAGAGAAGCAAGCAATCCTCATGTTAGTTTCAAGCTGGCTGGCTGCCGGCGCCATCTTGGCTGGCAGTTAATTTGCATATCTCGCTGATTAGCCAATGGGAAGGGTAGCGGACGTACGCTAATTACCATGTTTCTCTTTTATTAGATAGGATGTCATTCTTCATAGTCACTATTTTTTTTTTCATTCTGTTGAGCATCTTTGCCGTCAATATTCTGAACTCTGTATCTGATAAGTTTTTTTATCTCCATTTCATTTATCCCTTGTTCTTTAATTGGTACTTCTTTTTATGTCTTCCCATTTTGGCTGCCTGTTTGGGTTTGTGTCTGTGTAATAAGAGATCTGCTAGGACTTCCAGCCTCTAGTGCAGGACAATGTCAGATGCTGTTAGTGACTGGCCCTGAGTATCATTTGGAGCTATTAGCAAACTACAGCCCGTGGCTCCTCTTCTCTGGCTTGGTGCCTGTGGAAAGGACCAACATGTGCACCAGGGTCTGTTTTTCCTATCCCTGGGCCCAGAAGGTCAGGCAAAGACTCAAAGCTTCCAGAGACCCGCCTCTGCCTGCAGTCTGATTTTTCTCAGCCTTTATTGGCCTTAGGCTATGGACTACTGGTTGGAGGGAGAGGTCTTCCAATAGGGTGGATCAACTGCCTCCCTTCCCACCTCCCCAGGCAAAAACCGCCTGGATAGCAAAGGTTCACATGAAAAAGATGCCCTCTGCAGCATGCGGGAATGACTCAGCACAGGCAACCAGGGTGGCTGCCCTCCAAGCTCTAACCCAAGAGCCCCAACCCTGGCTTCTGCTTACTCAGGTCCAATCCACTCTGCCCTGCCTCTGCCAGAGCCCAAGGTGAGTGGCTGCACAATAAATTTTGTGTGTTGTTCCTTTAAAAAGGTGCCTGCATTTCCAGTCCTCTCTCCCTGGCAGACGGCAACCCCGCTGCCTTTCACAGCCAGATGTTACGTGGGTACCCTTCTCAGTTCTGGTTCTCTCTGCTGGGGGACCCAGCTTGGGGTTTAGACCCCAGAGTTCTGAATGGGAACCACTCACTTCCAGACCTCAGCTGCTGTCTGTGGGAGCCCAGCCACCCCTTTCTGTTCTCTGCACTTTCTAGTCTCTATGCGGTTTCCACTTTCCATCCGTGGTTATCAGCTTCTCTCCAGCTAGTTTTCAGTTGAAATTTTTTTATAAACAGAATATTATTTTGCATATACAAACAAAATGGAACTTTTTAAAAGTTACATGGTAGATTACGTTTCTAAAAACTTTCCAAGAAAAACCTGTTTTGAGTACAA